CTTCCTCCGGCGATTATCTGTGTCTCTGATTTCTCACTTGCTCGAGGAAAAGAAGACAAATACAACTTTTTCCGGACTAGCAGACGCAAAACCCACCATAAAAAGTCTTTACAATCTCAGGATTTTTTAAAATACCTAATTTAACTGCACAAGCTAAATAGCCCATGCATAAATTACTGAATAGTACCACAGTTTAAACTCTACACAGTTCAGCTATTTAATGTAAGATGCATGCTCACCGTAGTATCTCTAGAATGAAATAGGACATACACACATCTCCTGTTATACAGAAACTACTGTAGGAACTTGAAGCTTATCCAACCCTTTAGGAACGACGCGGTGGCCTAACCGTAGGCGCTCAGTGCCACTGCAGATGGTTCAGAGTCCTCTGCTCGGCTTCCAGCTGCTGGGTGCGGGTCCTGCAAGACATCGGCCAGACCTCTCCAGGATTCCCAAACACCTCGTGGCACCCAGAATGCCACCAAACGCTCACGTCCCAGCACCCCAACTGGAGTCTTTTTTAATTCTGAATAGCCAGTGCTGCGTGGGGCAAAGGCAATAAAGCCAGGGCAGTTTCTACGCCGTTCTCATGAGATTTCCATTGCCAGCATGGCTTTGCTGTCACTTAGAAGAGATCTCTCAAGCACGTAAGGAAATAACGGGCTTTAAAAAAGGCAAATATTGACAAAGTAAAATCATGTGTTGTTTCAGAGGTAAAGTAATGCTGATAGCTGTAAAAAGGGAAAAAAAAATTGTGATATTGACATCAACACCGGAGTGAGACTTTGGAGGTTTGAGCCCTGACGCCCAGGTCTGCCACGGACTTCCTCAGTGCCTGAGCACGTCCCTCACCCCTCGGGAGCCGTCCGCCTAGCCCCTGTCATTCCCCTCTTCTGGTGCAATAAAGGGGCCTTTTCGCTTGGTCTCAGCAGCAGGTGACACGGCCGCAGAGGCTCCGGACGGGAGCTGGCATCCGCCTGGGGACGGGCAGGGCCCCACGGCCACGCGGCGAAGCGGCTCCGTGCCCGGCGCGACGCCCGCGCCATTTAATCTAATGCAGAAAAGTGGGAAGAATTATTTATCAAAACTACGTTACACCCACAATTAATTTACTTTCGTTGATGCGCTGTTAGCATAAACAGCGCTGTTGCGGAATGCGCCGGGGCAAAAATAGTATTTGCAGTAAGAATTATTAAAGCAGCCGAGCTCAGCGGAAAAAAAAGGACAAAATTCCTCGCGTATGGGCCTAGGAAAGGCTGATTCCTTCTGCCCAGAAAAGCTGACCCCATCAGCTGGCCTGACAGAAGTACTTCTTCCTACTTCTTCCTTCGTTGCCTCTTTGATATCCTTTGACTATTGTGGCGACAACATTATTGCAAATTACTATTATTATAAAATTACGCGATTTATACTTTTTCCTTTGATAACATTTCAGAATCCATTCAGTATACTTGTTTAAGTGGCGAATGCTATTTAGAAGGGGATAAATACTGATTTACATTTCTAAGTGTCTTTTAACACAGAGAAGACACTGTCAATGTGAAAATCTGTAGGGAGTGGGAGATGGCTTGGAGGATGGCGGGAGTAATCATGTCACATTTAAGCCTGTATGATCTGTTTCCATAGAAAAAGGTTAGAGATCAACAAATTCTCAGTTTAGTTCAGTAATAAATGAAGGCTGGTTAGGGTATTACGTTTCTGGGGGGAAGCACTAGCCAGTATGTACAGCAGCAGCCTCTGGTGGTCTAAGGAAAAATGGTAGTATCTATAAGTAAGGATAGAAATATGTTTTTTTAAAAGCATGTACGTACATATTTAGCTATTTGACTCAATCCTCCATTCAACACATTAAAAAACAGATGCTTTTAAAATTATCTGCTGGCAATATGCTTGTTAAAATCTGAACAGTAAGGGTATTAAAATTCATATGCATTCATTAGTATGTTATATAAAAGTAAAATGCTTTTGTTTAATCGTTCCATAAAGCATTACAGTCAATGCTGATTATCAAGAAGTTTTTTTTCCTTGGTTTGCATCGACAAAAAAGAAACCAAATTTATAAGATTGTTACCAAATTGACGACATTTTCTGTCTTCACTCGTGAATTCCGTTGGCAGATGTTTTCAAGAACAAAAAATCCTGTCTTATTACAAAACGTATTAAGCAGGTTTCTCTGCCATAATGTTTGACATGATGTTTATTGCCCAGACCAAATCAGTCCCTTTAACAAGCCATAATGTATGCCAGAAAGTACATTATTTCATAGTTAAGGAAACTTCCAGCATGAAACAATAAGTACTTTGATCTTTCAAGCACTACGCTTAATGCACTACACGCTCCCATAGTCGTTTTTATTTCTACTCATTTTGTACAAAAATACAGTGCAATTTGATATTTTGTATTTTAAGACTCTGCTTCTACAGATTGTTGAGTACCCCAGCTATTCGGTTTTTTTTTCCTAAGAAAATAAAAAAAATACTTAAAGAAATTTAACCATGGAAGAGTTCAGTTTTTCCAGTTTTTGGAAAATCTAACCGCACAAGCGGGAGCATCATCCAGACAGCTTTAATTTGTTCAAATGGCACTTCCTCGTCAGATCACAACAGATCTCAACGACCCTACGAGCACATAACCGAGGATATTTGGTCCTACTACTTAACGGTCTGAAACAATTTCTCCAGCATGTTTGACACAAACAAATTTTCCTTCAACGCAAGATGCGGTTGATGCCTTCTTGCGAAGGTATTTTTCATCTCGCACCCGTTTTCCCTGCTTGGCAGAGATGATGTAAGGCTTGCCCAGGTTTTCCAAAGCTCTTCGATGAGATCATTACGAAGCATGTACCATCTTTAAATACTTCTGTGGAGTGACAATATGTTTCATTTCAAGAGCTCAGTGAGTCAAATGTACGCTACGCTACACAGTAAGTCAAGGTGGTACCTACGCTGCCCTTCGAGGTTACCCCAAACCAGCTCCAAGACCGTACCCCGCAGCAGCCCGCGGCCGCAGTAAGCCTGGAGGCAAGTTCCAGGGTGCAAAGGAAGGGTGATTCCCGTAGCACACGTAACCCTACGGACCCGAGCATGCGAGGCAGGAACTGCACGGCCAGGACGGCATTGCGCCATTTCATCTGCATCGTGTGATGCCCTCATGGATGGACAACCGCGTCTGTGGACAGGAAGGTTGTTTCAGAAACACATAGGCAAGCACACTGCAGTAATTTGTCCTGCCACACACTAAAGCAAGGGTGTTTTTCATTCTGTTTCAAAAAACTCTCTGTACTAGAGCCTGTTAAAGAAAAAAACTTAAATAATTGTTTCAGAATAAAACACCAACCGCATCAGGAAACCTGATTTCAGTTAATACACCCAGGAAAGGGGGCCACCACCCACACTTTTACCAAAACTCAGGCTACCTCTTTCCTTGAAGAAAATCCAATAAAGGGAATGTCTACGGTCACATTTGGGGCACACAGCTGCGCAAAGAAGAAAATGGGACAGACTCGTGTGTTTTCTGTTTCGGGGGTCAAACATTCGGAAGACAAACTTCATGCCTCTCCAACCAAAAGAGCCACAAGAAGGTGGAACTGCTAAAAAGGTATCAAAACAAGGTTCACTTTCAACAAGAGGACACTGGACCAGCACGCTGACCAAACGCCTTTCTGGACAATAGAGCAACATCGTCCACGGGCTTCTGATGGACCTGGAGACGAGCCTGGTCGCCGCTCTGAAGAAGCAGGCTGGTGGGCAGAACGGCTTCTCTCACAAAAAGCAGCGGATGGAAAAAAAACCGTGCCCTGTTGGTGACTTTGAGTATGTACATGCATCCTTTTGTTTCCCATTCTCAGCAGCGAGCTACGTCTCAAAAGACACCGTAGTATTTACGGTATCAGTGATCATCTCACGCCCAGGTTACAAAACCTTTTAACTAGCCAGGACGGCTGCATTTCTCCTACAAATATTACTACGCTAAACCACAATTAAGAGGAACTTGTTAAAATTTAAGACGGTTCTAGCATCCCTTTTGCTGGATTCTTCTCTCTTTCGCACCAGAAAGCCATATGTATTTTCACTGTTTTAACTACGCCGTGGCATTTCTGACATGTTTTACCGTTGAACGAAAATACTAACTTTCGTAATAAGGGCTTTGGAAATTGCACGACTCAGTCTTGAATGTATAATGCATAGTATGTATATGAAGCAGGATGTGTCAAAGTGCAAATAATATTGTTTGTGCCCCCTGCAGAATCAGAAATCCTCGGGTAGCACTGTTATAACGATCCCATGCTGGTAGCATTACAAAGTGCAAAGGTTCACTGAGTAAGAAAAGAGCAAGGGACAGAGTTTCCTCATTACACCATTCTCGAACTATTCTAGCTTAAATATTTATTAAGATATTAATAACTCTCCTCCTTTATCTGCCTTCAGAAGTTCAGCTGAAACACAATGGATGGCTGCTCATATGAAAACAATACATTACAGGGCAAATCTGCTACCACACAAGATGAACACCAGTATTTTCCACAATACATTATTAATTCAGCAGGTAATATGTTAAAAAACTATCAGGCTATAACTACTGCCTCCCCAATATCAGACAGTACAACACAATAAATGCACACATGACACGTGAAGCTAATATGTCACCTAAGCTGCACTAGAAAGTGCTCCTTTTGTACACCTCCATTTATGAAATAATTTTTACAAAGCTTCCCTTAAATCATTCTCTTTCTTGATAGCACCAGTGAGTTCCTTTGGGGTTTATTTGAAGTTCCCCTTTGAAATCAGAAAGGAATGTTTTGTAACTCTTCCAAAACTTCACATTCAATGTGACAAAAAAATATCAATAGAATAAAGAGCCAGGAACTCTGTATGAACTCTCGAATGCCATCTCAGTCATGTGTTTGTTTCTAAAAAATCATGCTGTTTATCAGCCAATACGGCCAGTAAACATATCTATACATCACTAAAGAAGGGAAAACAAAACCAGAAGAAACTTACTCTAATATAAATCTGCATAGTTTCTTTCTCTTTTTGCGGATTTCGATACTTTTCGTAGAAGTCACGTCGCTTCTTTGTTTCCTTCTGGATTTTTTCTTTTCTTTCCCTCTTTTCTGCAGGTTCATCTGAGCTATCAGAAGACAGCTGTACTTGGGCTTTTGTCTTCTCCACTTCAATATAGTTCTCATTGGGATTCAGTACTATTACTCCATAGCCTTCCTGTTTTAGAAGAGAGACACACAAAAAAGAAGAAATATGAAAAGGGAGATTTAATGCTTGCAAATGCTATGCATTTACTTTAATGCTCTTAAAAACTTTCATATTTATTTCAGTAAGTTCACACACCAAAATTTATAGAAGGGTATTTTAAGAATATTCCGTTCGTTTGATTTCTGTCATTAAAGGGTTATTGATGTGTGAATATATGCCTGTGTGTGCACTTACGCTCACACACATCTCTCAGAGTCAGAAAAGTTGCCTGGCTTACCTTTAAAATAATTTACTATGTTGTTTTACTCATAAACACTTTATACCGCTTTTTCAGAAAACAGTATGAGAACTAAAAGCAAAATATTATTTTAAGAACTCTACATAATGATGAATAAAAAGCTTTATACCCAGCCAATAAAAACCTTTAAAATAAAAAGGATGAAGGGATTTCACATCTATCTATCTATCTATCTATATATACCTACATATATAAAAGAAAGCATATGAAAATTATTCACCGCAGTTTAAAATAGTAAAAGCTTTTGTCTCGCTGACAACAAGCATACCATGCAGAAGCCAATAGCGGCAGTAACAATGAATCAATACCAAAACTGATGCAGTGGCATTGCTTACAAGTCAACTCTTTTACTGTGGGGATGACTTTTAAGCACATCTTTAAATCTGCTCTAAAACTTCACCGGGATTACGTCCTGTATTCAGAAAACCCAGGGAAAATTCGTGACCTGCAGGATGCTTTTGAGCATACCAGCTGCATTTTTGTGCCTCAGAAAATGAGCCAGTTGAAAAATACATGAATTTATGAATGAGAAATAAATCTTGAATAAATCAGCCAATCATTTTATTATGATTTTTAAATGATGGCAAATCACACAAGAATTGTAATATTCGTGGAAGATATAATCGCAAGCGCGGGGAGAAAAGAGAAGCACGTGCATTTAACAGATGAGTCCTTAAAGTTACCATGGGTTCCCAGTCAAAATCAAGCTGTCCTTTAAAAGTGAATTTTAATAAAGACTTACTTTCTGGAAACGTCTATATTAACTACCTAGCTGAACAGCTTTATCCCAGCTTTTTTGCTCGGTGCTCCGTTTCGCACTTGGGCTAGGCACGAGGATCAAAGAGGTCCCCATACCTAGCTGGCCAGAGCAAACCAAGCCCACACCAACAAAAGCCACTTTCTTTGGGCTTGCTTTATTCTAATCTGTAGAGCCATTCACAAACCTTGTAGCGCTTTGTGGCCACTGTCAGGTAGACAGATTGTCACTCGGTGATTTTCTACAGTTGGACACACTCGACTAGTTATCAAAATCGCATCTGAAGGGAGTTCCTACCCCTCGTCCTTGTGCCCTTCTCAAACGTCTGCCGCAGCTTCTCCTCCCACCGAAAACCCAGTTAAAGGGCACGGTTGCACTCTGCTAAACAGGGTGAAATAGAGGCATTCAGGACACTGTCTCTGGCGTAAGGGACGTAGTCAAAAAAAGGTCAGCACAGGCCAAAGAGAAAATTGCCTCCTCGCTAGACGCGGCGCCGGGAGTAAGTGGTCTCCTGTCATGTCGCTCCCCTGCCCTCCCCGCCGAGTGAACTGAACCGGGATAAACATAAACAAACAGGCAAATAAATAACTAAACAATGGGGGAAGGGCAAAGAAAAATGCAAAAATTAACAAAGTTTAAAGTCCACCCTGGCCACCGCTGGTCATGCTGACGCACAACACTTGCGCTATTAACCCGTAAAATCACCAAGTTGGAAAACGCAACGCCCAAAACCCATCGCAGGGGAGAGCACCGCTCAGAAACGTTCCCAAATCCCCCGAGCAGTTCCCAAATTTGGGCAGAAGGACTGTGCCTGAGGTGACTAGGGCAGGGCAGGAGCGCGCTGCCGCAGTGCTTGGCAGGCTGGTGGTCCTGGGGCTCGTCTTCTCAGCCCGCTCGCTTCGAGCAGAGACGTTCTGCGGATCGATTCGCTTTGCTCTCTGCACAATCCCAAATGCAAAATTCATGTGTTTGTCACAGGCCTACGAGTGTGGCAGCGATTTGAAACTCTGCGTCCGCTTCAAGCTGACCACAAAACAGACACATAAATCATCAAAGAAGTAGAATTTGTCTAAGTTATTGATTATGTAACTCAAAATTACATGACTCATTTGTCCAGTTTTATGAGGACACAATGTCAATTTTTCACATAGACACCAACAGATGAAATACGATTCCATTTTTAAATTCACTATTTCACAAATCAATTAAAGGATTTTTATCCATTATATTTTAAACAGTGTAACATGTCTCCTTTTACGCTTCTTTTTTTTTAATTTCTCCCAGATAGCAGGCCTTCCTATCAGTACAATTAAAATAATTAGGTAATAACTGAGATAGTCCTTCCCACAATTGAGAAGAAAAATAATCTTACAATCCATCAGACTTTCTCTTGGGAAAGCAACCTCTTTTCAGACGGTTTTGCCTACTCGACGTAGCGTACTTCCCTCTCCCCTGTCCTTCTGCATCCTAAATCACAAGATGTAGAACAATGGCAACCAGAGAGAAGGTCTGAGAGTAACGTGTACAAAGCAAGATGGAAAAACAAAATGACTGGTAAAACTGCACCCGGTTACAACCTCTCTCATTCAGCCTTAGCCCAAGCATTTTCTACTGGAAAGGAATACCCAGCTCTAAATAACATCTGTCTAAACAATGCGGCTTTTGAGTTCAATTAATTTTTAAGAAATGTATTTCTCGTGGATGTAGCTGCACCACTAAAGTTCAGTGCGAAAAACCAAAAATAAAAAAAAAAAGAAAAACTAAAAGAAAAGGCAGAAGTCCTCGCTAACGCAGTGGGGTTGGGCAGAGCGCAAGTCAGTGCAAAGCTGAGCACACCGGAGCACCAGTATCTCAAAAAAGGCCTTTAGCAGACTTTAACAACAGGCAAGACACACAGTCTTTGGCGTGACTGCCAAGCAAAGGCAAAATCACATCCATTAAAAAGCATCTTTTAAAACGCAAGTCGCCTTCAGAAGCGCTTGTCATTAAAAATACCAATTTGAGCTCTGACGAGCTTCCAGCACGACTACAGCGCAGTGCCCTGTGATGTGAGTCGGCACGGTCGCCCGGGGCAGTGCTGAAAGCTTGCCGCCGTCAGCAGGGCGTTCGGTACGTTTTCAGCGTACGGAATGGCGGGC